AAATGCCTAGCAGTCTGGCACACATGTCAGTGAATAAATGCTTGTGGTTTTGTTAGCTGAGCCTGTTCTTACTGTGAAAATATGTAGTTCAATTGTATTTTTAAAAGTTACGTTTTCATGTACTCAAGAGCACCAATAACTTTAATCAAAAAGAGAAATATCACATAAATCATGCAAGAAAATAGTAAATATGTAGGTAGAGTTCTAATTAATTTGATATTTGTTCTTCAATACTTTAGTAATTGATCCTATAGCAAGGCCCTTTTCAGTTTTCTAATTAAAGTCCTACTTTGATCCCAAGCATTCTTTGAATTCAGTGAAGAAATAGAAATTGACAGTTATGGAGTGACTGTTATATATCAGATATTATACTACATATGGTCCTATAAATCATCTTATTCAAGTAATTGTATTAAGAATGGGGGCAATGAGGTTTGAGAAGGCTGGGGAACTTGCCCGTTTGTACAGCTAGTAAATAAATATTAGCTCTGAGATATACACGTGGTTTCCTGATCTAAGCCCCACACTTTGTTTACTACCTGACACTCCATTTTAAAACAATAAACTAGTACCTGTCCTATCATGTTAGTTGGAAGTATCACACATGTCAATAATCTATTCCCTTTGTGGGACGACTCTTTTTGGAGATTTTTGATAACTCTTTATATGCCTGGTCAAAAAAAGTCTTCAATGCCTCATATTGAAATTTAAATGCATTTCCTTCTTTAGAATGGCTAATGACGGAGGCCTTAACTGGTCCCAGTATTCTCCTGTTGTGTGTTCTGTATATACTCTTCCTGTACCTTCACTTTATATTTTTTAAGACTGTGATTGAATCTGAATCAGGATATCAAAAGCTCAGCTACACTTAAAATTCTTTGTTGCAGACTTTCAATTATCTGGATATTAAAAAATATCTGGGGGGAAAATCAGTAGCCTGTTTCTGTTTTAATGAAAATATTTGTTATGCCATAATCATAGTCTTCTTTCACCTTTTTCTATGTTGAATTCAACTTGTGACTAATACTTAGTCCACTGTCTTGGTACTGTTTAAAAACAAAACAAAACAATACTCCCTGACCTTGAGCCACACTGCCTGTAAGGTATTTATTGGCAGTCAACCAAAGAGAGCAGCTGGAGATCCTGCGTTGTGCCTTAAATGCACTATGCTGTTTAATCCTCACAACAACCCAATGAGATCTGTACTATTATTATTCCTGTTTTTACAAATGAGGAAACTAAGAGGTTAAGTAGCTGGCCCAGGGTCATGGTACCAAGAAAAATGGTGGAGCCAAGTTTCTAAACCAGATGGCCTTGACTGGAGATTGAGCTCTTAACCACTGTGCCTCTCTTGCATAAGAGGAACACAGAGAAGCAATGCCCCCGGCCCTACAAAACAACATAAGGTATTAAAGTAAGAATAAGGTTACTAGAATCAGGTTGGCATCAGAACGCTTCAGGGACAAGATTTTGAGCAAGGCATCAAAGCAGGGTGGGATGTAATTGGCCCAGCTGAGAGCTGGGGCATCATGATAGACAAGAATGGCCAGGGCTTGTTGAGTGGGTAAGAAACAGCATCAGCCTAATGGACAAGGGTGGGTAATTTTTAATAGATTCTTATCTACTTCAGTCTCCTCTTTTCCTTCTGGTTTTTCTTAAGAATAAAACAGCCGAAACCGGTTTGGCTCAGTGGATAGAGCGTCGGCTTGCGGACTGAAAGGTCCCAGGTTCGATTCCGGTCAAGCAATGTTGTGGGCTCCATCCCCAGTAGGTGTTCAGGAGGCAGCCAATTAATGATTCTCTCTCATCACTGATGTTTCTATCTCTCTTTCTCTTCCCTCTTCTCTGAAATCAATAAAAATATATTTTTAAAAAAGATTAAACAAAATGCAAATACCAACTGTAATATAATATAGCAACCAGATATGCATAAAATAGAAACACCAATGTATTCAATTAAGGTAAATAATACAATTTTTAGTTACTGACTGAGGTCTTTTTCTCCTTCCTGGTGTACTATAACTGGCCTCCCCATTTTATATCTGATAATTTTCCTTACCTGAATTTAAATCAAACTGTTTGAATTGTGTTAATAGTTACTCCTTATTTTGATTGAGAAGATTTTCTCCTCCTTTTCCCAACCTTACTATTGAATTCTGGAAGTCTGTAACGAATATATGGCAAATACGTTATAGTACAGGAAGTCCAAACTTATTAATGGGCTGTGTTCCAGTAAATTAGTTGTTTGGAAACTGGAATTTATTTTCCCATGGAAATAGTGGTTAAGTTCCCGGAGGACCTATAAAAGCTTGCTTCACCAGGAATGTGACAGAAATGAACACTGTCACCTTTGTGTTGAACTCTGCCTATTATTCTGGGGCTCTATGGATTTCTCTTCTTACTACAATGTGTTAGCTAACCACCTCTTGGGACACAGATTTTTTCATTATAAATTATGGAAAAAGCTATCACTTATAATTCTACCCAGATCCAATCTTTAATACTGCTTCGGGGTGTTTCTTTCCACTAATCATTACTTAAAACATCAGGTGGAAAGTTGTTTTCCTTAGCCGACGGTCAGGAGTCAGAAGAGTGGCCCAAGAATGCTCATAGCCTAGCCAGTGGTCGGCAAACTGCGGCTCTCGAGCCACATGCGGCTCTGTGGCCCCTTGAGTGTGGCTCTTCCACAAAATACCACGTGCGGGCGCGCATGTACAGTGCGATTGAAACTTCGTGGCCCATGCGCAGAAGTCGGTATTTTGTGGAAGAGCCACACTCAAGGGGCCAAAGAGCCGCATGTGGCTCTCGAGCCGCAGTTTGCCGACCACTGGCCTAGGCTATGACATCACCTTCTCTGCCTGCACCAGGAGGAGAAGGCAGTGAAATGGCACCAGGGACATGTCTCGCCCCTGCTGCTGCCCGTGACCATCTGGTTCCTAGGGGTATCTTTTGGCCCATGTGGGGATTTAAAAATAAAAGACTTTCTTGGTTTCTAACTTGGCATCAGGTAATAGTCCCCAGGTTTTAGTGCCTGCCCCATGTTAGAACTTGGGAGATTACCCGATCATGTGTGTTTTGACTATAGTTGAATCTATATTACAGAAAATTCACACTTAAATAATCTGAAGCTATGATGTGGATATCTCCCAAATACGCTTGTCTCAGAAGCATTTCCTTGCAGGGCACAGTAACCACAACAAAACCAAAATCTTTATTTTAGATAGAAACATTACCAGCAAATGTTTCCAAAACAGAAATACTTAAAGTGAAAAAAAATTTGTGTCTATGGCCATCATAACAGTGTGGTTTTTAAAAACTTTAGCTTCTACACACATTTCACTTCTACCTTTTTTACCTTGTTGGGAATTTTTTTACACTAGCGAGGGATTCTTTGCATGACTTTTGAGTCTGCCTTTAGAAATGTCAGAAAAAGCATTTGTATAACTAGGGAAGGTTTATATTTACAACCCCAGTCCTCCAAAAGACAAGCAAAACCCCCACTGAATTTGTATAACCATGTCTGCTGTCAGTGTCTTTTTTAAACACTTGGTGATGTGTCAGTAAACATTTGCCATAAAGACAGTGCATTTCAATTGAAAAATACATTTTTTTTTGCATCCTCAAAACAATGGCTAGACTTAGATATTAGACTTCACAAAGATGAAATAGGCCATTGGTTGGGACTAAGGAACGAAGAGGGCTCCAGCTGCTGGGTGCTCAAAGCTTGTTTTTGGCAAAGAACACATGGCAGGAAGTTAGCATTTCCAGGCACCTTGGAAAGTCTAGAGCAGGAGGAAGTTTTGAAATCTTACTGGAAAGCTTTAGAGCCAAGTAGGTCTACACTGCTTGAAAGTGAAGACAGTTATTTCAACTGTGTTTAAAAGGAGAAAGAGAAAGGAGGAGGAAAGAAAGAAAAAATAATACTCTTGGGGGAATCAAATGAGAGCGCATGCATAAAAGTGCCCAGTGAGGTTACCAAGATGCATTAGCTCCTCAATAATGTTAGCCAAATTTGAGTACTGGGAATTGTATTGGGCAAACAGGATTATTTAAGCTCAGTTATTGTTGGGGTCCAACCCCAGCGGGTCCAGGGGTCCCCAAAGGTGTGGATGGAGTCAGCGAAGAAGGAATGACACGGAGACAGCCTTCAGTTGATCAGCAGCCTAGTCAGGACCTCTAGCCAGGATCTCCAGCCAAAGTTCTGGTCGGAGTTCTGGTTAGGAACTGATCAGGATCTGATGTTTATTGTCTTGTTACATCTATATTTATACCAGCCGATTTTAATCCTGTCAATTTCTATTACAAAGGTTAGGGCGTTTCTTATCTCCATTCCAGGGAGTAAAGATTATGTAGCTTAACTACCCGCCTGGCACTTAATTAAGGGGTTGTATCCCCTCCCTAACCTCGGGGAAAAATCCCCACCTGGGGAAACAACCTTTCTCGGAGAGGTGACCTTGGTTAAAACACATGGCACTAAGGAGAGCAAACATATTAAGAACAATATGCTATATATGCCAGGTCCCTTGAAACATATGCTGTGCAGATGTTTCTTTCCTGCAGCGACTGTGTCAAGCAGCAAGGATGGACCGGCTTCCAGCAAATTCCCCCTTTTTTGTTTTTTAAATGATAGCGCGTGTAAATCAGTGGCCACCTCTCAGATTGGGCTGTTTAAGACTCGGAAGAACACTGGCAAGCAATGACAATAAGCATAGCTATAAACATAGTGGACGGATTGCACAAAGAGCCTTGTTCCTGTAGAAGGTTGCTGGCCTCTTCAGTCAAGGGATTTCAGCTAGGCGAACCACATTCTGACCAGTGGGGGGAGGAGGGGCCTGCAGCAGCTGGAGCAGCTAGGAGGGCTGAGCCCCTTGCACAAATTTCGTGCATTGGGCCTCTAGTATTGCAAATGAAGTGGGATTTCTTTCTTGGTTGGGTTATAATTCCTCAAGTCTGGGCTACTTAGCTCAGCTGGTGGATAAACATTATGGACTACAACCATGTACAAGTCAAGCTTTATAAAGAGAAAGACATTGAAATGCTAAGATTATGCACCATATCCCTAACCCCAGATACACATCATATAAACAAGTTTTTGGTCACTAGACGGATTGCATAAATGGGTGCAGCCAGCACAAACACATGTTAATTCCTTAAAAAATTCAAAGCATTATCTATAAAGCCACGTCATGTTCAAGGAACAAGTTGTTCAAAACACGTTTTTCAAGTCCCTTAGAGTTCTACGTTAAGAGAAGTAATTTCCTTGTTATGACAAATGTGTTTGATCTCCAAATGCTTAAAAGATTTGTAAGTTGAACAGAACTTCACAACCCAAGTTTCCAAGATGATAAAAATCAGTTAATTTTAATTACTTTAGATTTTTCTACCAGAGGAAAAAAAAAAACCCACAAAAGAACACCTCAGCTATTCAGCTACACTGGCATTTGGGGGGGAAACTTAGATGATAAAGATGGGGTTCAGCATGAATATACCACGATACATGCATTACCTGAACTTACTTTAAAATTCTAAATTTGTGAGCTCAAAACATAAACATGCTGAAGTGGAGTCATCAGTTATTTCTTAATGCATTGTAATAAATTTAAAATGCAAGAGATTCAAGGCAGTCAGATTACAAATCAATTCCCATTAGGTTAGCCAACATGTGTCAGAAAAATAACCAAGTATAAGACTCCCCATGACCTGTAGAACGAACAAAATGATCCTCTGGTTATTTTCTAAGATTCTCCTCTTTCTCACAAACATAGCAAAGTATCTCTGCAATTCACTCTCCCCCCGTCAGAGTTCTATGGGAAGTGTTGCAAGTGGGCATCACCTTCCTCTCTCACCACTGTGCTAGCTATACCTCCCCTCCCAGTTGGAAACTCGGATGCCATTTATCTACTAAGCTTTGCTAATTAAAAAAAAAGATTGATGACATCCACCATCCACCGCAACACATTAAAAGTAATTTATACAGCCCGGCAGCACACTGGAAGTCCTGAGCAGACAACATTTCAACTCCAACAAAAAGACACCGCTCGCTTCTGTGACACAACAGAAAGTGGACAGCAACATGTGTCATGCACCGAAGACTAACGCCTTGCCAAAAAAAAAAAAAAAAATCTAAATAAATTAAAAAAATTTTTAAATGCCTGGAGATAATGAATTCTTCTTAAGTCATTCTACTTAAAACCTAAAACTGGTCATCAGAATCTATTTCCAGTTTTACAGTCACCTTTCTTCCCGGCAAGACCATAACAGAATGAGGTTTCCAGGAACGTGGTCAGTTACACCACAGCTGCATCTGACCGCTGATGATCTCTGCCTCGGTGTGCACGTGGGGTTTGCACATCTGGATCCTGCCTTCCTGGACCATCCGTCAGGTTGGCTTTGGGAAAAGGAGACAAAAGACACCCCTTTGCAATCGCCTTTCGGCAATCCCAGTTTTGGAGGGAGCTATAGACAACACAACATTTTCCATATCACACAGAGAAACAACTCTCTCTCCATAAAAACATATAAATACACAGACAGACAAATAGAGACCAGGTGGCCACGAAGTCCCTTGAAGTACCCATGTATCGACGGACCACCAGACACTGACCTTAGATCTGTAACGGAGGGGAAGAAAAAAAAATCATGATGAGCCTGAAAAAAAATAAAAATAAAAATAAAAAAATGTAACCTACCACCGTCACTGACACGGAAAACAGAACACAATCACCACCGGGAACCCGGGGTCCTGTCAAGATCTCTCTCCACCAGAAGATGCAGGCGCACTGCCCCCCGGGTGCCCAGGAGCGCGTCTCCCGAGCAGCAGC